TTTTCTCTTCTACATCTGAGATTCTATTTTCTGAATGATCTAGTCTGCTTTTAATACTTTCAAGGGAGATTTTGACTTCTTGTATTATAGACTTCATCTCTAGCAGTTCCGTTTGAGTCTTTTGTAAAGTGTGTAATTCCTCCTTTAGATCTTGCAAGAATTTCCTCATCTCCTGGAACTCATCAACTTCTTTCTCCTTTCTCTTTAGCAGTTCATTATCTCTCTTCTCTTCCATCTCTATTAGCTTCTACATTATGAATGTCCTTATCAGACATTTCCATGATTTTCACCGAACTGCTTGTGGATGAAGAAGAGTTACTCTTTTCCCTTGGAGGAGAGGTATTTTCTTGTTTTCCTGTATTTCTTGTGATCCAGCAGTGATTTCTTGTCATCTGATGGATGGTGTGTTTCTTTCAAGTTCTTGAAGTTCAGCCACTAGCTTGTTTGCTGGAGGCTGAATTATCAGTAGAAAATCTTCATTCCCTGAAATATCTAGTTCGCTGGAGCCATGTGGAACCTTCTTCTGAAGGCCCGGCCTCTTCTGCCTCGGATATTTTTTTTTTTAAGTGGGGGTGAGAAGCCCAGAGTACTCTGCTTTTCTGACATGTCAGTTGCTAAAACTGCAGAGGCCACAGCAATGTGATCTACAAAAAGGAACTGGGCAGCAGAATTTGGATGACTGGAGCTGGGGGTAGATAGTACCATAAAGACCCTGTTGTGGGGAGGTCTATCTTTCACTCATGGACTAAATAAGTAAACTTTAAAAATGATAGTAATGAGTAAGTAATTTTGCAATATAATATTAAAATCTTTAAAGACAAAAATTTTAGTTTAGTTTCAGCTATTAAGAAAGAAAAGACGGCCAGTGACTAACGTGGTGGTCACGGCAGCTGGATTCCACATGGCTAACTTCATGGTTCACCTGGGGCTTGAAACATGCCAGGTGTGTGTGTGTCCAAAATCCTGAGAGGAGAATAGAGGAGAAAGGCCTGTGTGGCCATTCCCCAAGGAGGTGATTTCTTTCTCTCTCTCTCTCTCTCTCTCTCTCTCTCTCTGTCTCTCTCTCTGTCACTCTCTGGTGAGTGCACATGCCTTATAAACTTAAAAAAACAGAAACTACACAAAAAGAGTGAATGGAAACACACAAAAATATTAGTTTCTAGCAGGACACTGGGTACATAGTTCTATTAGGAAGGAGGACTTAGAGGGGACCCAACAGTGACGAGGTGATTAAGGTGGCAGATCCCACATG